ACTCTCTGCATACTAAGCGAACGACCCACTCGCGACACTTCAAATTTTTTCCGAGCTAGTTAATACTCACATACTGTGAGAAAAGAGAAACTTGTTAGAAAGCTCGCACCTGAAAAGAATTTTATTCGGGTTTATTGCCAAGAGGGAATAGTTTAAGTGTAAAGCTGTTTTATTATGCATGGGCGTCGAGAAGCAAAGATCTAGTCTTCATCACAAATATGCACGCGTGCCCGATCTCATCCAATAATAATTCGAATTCCTTTTGTAGTTAAGACTTAAAAGGAAACTGATAATAAATAACGAAATTGAAAATCCAGGGAATTTAAAATGTCACTTGAAAGCTCATAGTGTATGAAAGCATAAAATAAATTTAACTTGAAAGTTAAGCTAAAATGGAAACACAGTTTAAACTGAAAAATAAAATGAATTTCCCTTACGAAATTCGAAAAAAGTAAAAGTGAATTTTGAAATGGATACAAAGTGCAATTTTTCTGGTTTACAGATAATTTGTCAAATTGTGTGTAAATCAGGCAAATTTTTGGCCAAAAGACCTAGGTTTTAACGCTACAGTGTTTTGCAGGACATGTTAGCGCAAGAGATGATACCAGGAGACAAAGGTCAATTATCTATTCTTTTTATTAATAATGGCAACAGGACTGAGTGGAGTCCAGTTTGGTCTGTAATCATACGAGAGAAATATCATAATTAAGAATATGGGAATAGCTTGCAAAATGGCTGTTAAGTTTCTTTAAAAACAGTCACCGGAAACTAAACCTCCTCTGTAATCAATGTTGTGATTAGTGGATTTAGTGGAGAGGACTTAAAATAATTGTCCGATTACAGGTGTCCGATCACAGCCAACTGTCCGATTACACTGTCCGATTACAACTTTGCAGATTAATTAGAGCAAAATACACCAGTTTATGCATCAATCATATTTGAGGAAATTGTGATTGCTGTGATTAATAATAATATGAAAATTTTCATAACACCATTTCACAATGGTTCAATGGCACTTTACAAGAAATTAAATCTATAAACAAATACCTGCTATAAAAAATTAAGAAAATGTCAAATACAGACAAAAGTTTAAAAAGATATATAATTAAAAACTTCAACTTAAAAATGCTTTTTTTAAAAAGCCACGTTTTCAGTTTGCTTTCAAAAATGTTCGTAAAAGACGAGTCTTTAATATCTTTTGGAAGAATGTTCCACACAGTTCGTAAAATTAAGAAAATGTCAAATACAGATAAAAATTTAAAAAGATATATAATTAAAAACTTCAACTTAAAAATGCTTCCTTAAAAAGCCACGTTTTCAGTTTGCTTTTAAAAATGTTCGTAGAAGACGAGTCTTCAATATCTTTTGGAAGTATGTTCCACACAGTTGGAGCCGACACCGCAAATGAACAGCCCCATAGCCTTTTAAATTGAAACTGAATTTTGTTTTCTAGTCTTCGTTTTTGTATTCCACGCACTAATACTAATAGCTGGCTTTCACCTGACGCCACTAAAATTCAAACTACAAAACTATTGATCTTCCTGAGATTTTACTTTAATGATGTATAAGAGCAGCTGAAAACTAATATTCATACAAATTTTC